CCAGCAGCCTTAAGGGCCTCTCTGTGGTTTCTGGCTAAATAAAAGCGGTGTACAAACAAATAAACTTGAATAAGCTAATACATTTATATCAGAATCCTGAAAAAAAACACAAGCACTACAGTCATTGTCTAAAGTACTGTACCTACCAGAATGGCTCCATAGACTTTGTGGCCATCTGCTTTCACCTGTGCGTTGGACACAGAGTAATCATCTAGCACAGCTTGTAGATTCGCCCAATAGGCAGGGAGGTGAGGATACAGCACACGTTCAACAGCCTGTGTCAAAACACACACACAAACAGTGCGACATTTAGTAGTAAAAAGCGTATTTGTGTTTGTGGCTGTTGTGCTGTCTGTGTTTACCTTCCATCCGAGAGCATGCAGACCCACTACTGCTCCATAGTGGGAACAGAGAGGTCTAACCGGATCGGAAAGAACCTTCTGCAGAGACAGGAGAATCTGATGGTACAGCCCACTCACAAGATCACCATGTGTCCTACAAGTCAACATGAGAAAAACAATCAGTTAGACGAGTGTTTTTGAACTGGAATTATTTATCAAAGCTTAACTTTACTGCAGGATTCTAAAGAAATACCAGAAGATGTGGCTGAGCAGAAGGGCTGCATAGTCTCTCAGGGTCCAGTGGTCATTGAGGGGGTTGATGGAAGCAGCCAGAGGTTCCAGGATGCAGTACATGACACTGGACACAAGACTGCGCACATATGAGCCCAGGTACAGGTACGGGTTCTGCACCAAACTCTTCACCATGTGTAGGAGTCTGTTTAACTGGTCCAGATCATGACTTACTGACTTCACCTAAGAAAGAAGGAAGAGATTCACAGATTATAATATGCATCAAAGAGCACAAGGTCATGTAACAAGTTTCACTATTTTTACAGTAATTACAAAAAAGCCATTATTATATAAGGTAATAATAATTAATGAAGGCCTTTTGTACTACATGGACCAAGCAGACTTACCCCACTGATGACGTAAACGAAGTAAGGCAGGAGGGCAGCGATCTTTGAATTGGACTGGAGGTCTAGCAAAGCCACCTGATTGAAGCAGAAAAACATTATTATACTAGCAAGAGAAAACAAAACGGCTCCGCCTCATCTGTGCTCTGGTGCATATTTTAATGTTTTGCTACATTTTTTCAGGATTCTTTGATAAATAGAAAGTTTAAAAGAACAGCATTTAATCGAAACAGAAATGTTTTGTAACAATGTAAAAGTCTTTATTGTCTCTACTGATCAATTTAATTCATCCTTGCTCAATATGATCATTAAATTTCATTAAATCATTAAAAAAAATAAAAATCTTACTGACCCCAAACTTTTAAAAGATAGCACAAGTACCTTCATCAGATGTGGATCCTCTCCTAAAATGGCTCGCGTTATTTGTTGGTAATACTTCAGCAGATCCTCTGATAGAGACTGAACAGCAGTGGGCACTACCAAGAGAATACAAGTAAACAAACACAAAATAGAGCTGGGTGAACTATGGAATATTTACAGTATATTATTTTGTTGGTGATATAAATAAATAAATAACCAACCAACATTGTGC